ACTACATGAATCTATGGTGTGTCAGCCCCCCTCACAACCTCTGAGTCAGAGCTTCTGTGTGTCTTCCATGAGGTTGGGTGATCAGGGGGGGTGTATCCCTTTCAGAGTCGCTCCAATAGCTGAGCTTGTGGTTGTCTCCCAGCCATGCACAACATAAGCTCTATTTTAAAACAATTTTCCGAACGCACATGCCCTGGAAGACACCGCATACATAGGTCGTTAACTCCCTACTGGAAACAAATCACTTTCACCTCAAACGGTGCTTGTCATCTCTCCGGATTAATGCGTGTTTCTGTGTATAAATTTTTATCTTTGACCATGTTAACTCCTACAGCAAAGAGAGCCACCCCAAACCTACCAACGTGCCTGAGCCAATTCAGAGCTTTAGAAGAGGAATGAATGGGAGATGAGGGCCCTTAAGGGACTTCTCTCACACAAACAGTAAGTGGGGGAAAAAATTTTTTTTCCTCCGTAGAGGGAGGGGACAGGGTGAATGGATAGGGCAAGGACTCTGAGCAGCAGACCAAAGGCAGCAGCCACGGCCGCACTTCGCGAACTGCCTGCAGAGGGGATTGAAGTCTTTTCGTGTACAATAACCGAGCACTCTCTGGCTGCCCTGCATGGGCACGAATAATAAATACATCAAGGTTGGCAAACAGATGCACCGAGAACAAGCCACCCCAAAAAGGTCAAAACTTCAGAAATCCCGGGGATCGCAGCACCCACGCAAACACATCGATCAGTCGAAGAGGGAGAAGGGACTTACAGACTTAGCAAAGGATTCTGAATTTTGTTTTCCTTTCAAGCTCTAGCTTGCAAAGTACGGTGGCTACACGCAAAGCTAGGAGAGGAGCAGGAAGGCTGAGGGTGGCGGGGGGTGCGGGTGGGAAGGGAGGGGTGTCTAACACCAGCCACCCAGGCCTCAATGTGACGAAAGTCGTCAGCAACCCCAACCGCATCCCAGCCCCTCCGCCCCGGCGAGCAGACGCCCCCTGAAGCTCCCCCCTCCCCCCGCCCCCCTCCGCAGCGTTCGTGCCTTGCAGCCCCATGAGCCCCGCACCAGCAGCCCGGCCGGGCCGCGCGCCCGCAGCACCACCCCCGCGGCTCCCAGCCCCTCCGCGCGGCAGACACCCCGCAGGCCTCCTCCCAGCCCACCCGGCAGGCCGGGGAGCGGGGCCGGGGCGGGCCGCGCTGCCGACTCCCCCGCCTCCCGCTTACCTTGGCGCTCGCTGGGGGGCTGAAGGTGGCCAGCCTCCCGCCCCCCGCCCTTCCTTCTCGCCTTTTTTCTTCCACCCTCCTCCTCCCCACGGTGTGTCCGGGGCTCCCCTCCTCCCCGCGGTTGGGAGTAAAAGCCGAAAACCCCGACGCCGGCTCGCGTGCGTGCGTGCGGGAGGCGGCGGCGCGCGGCCCGCTCTCCAGTAACTGAGCGCGGCGCGCGGCTCCAACTAAAGTGTGAAAGAAGCGGCGGCCGCGGGGCCGCGGCACCGAACGTCCCCCGGGGAGTGGGCAGGGAGCAGGCGGGAGCCGGCGGGGAGCGAGCGAGGGAGGGGCCGCGGGGAGGAGGGCGGCCGGGAGGGAGGGGGCCTGCTCGCCCAGTCACTCACTCGAGGGGCGGGGGCAGCCAGACACGCCCCCGCCGCCGGCCCCTCCCCGCGCCCGCTCCGCGCGCGGCCAGCCCCTCTCCCCGGGGACGGGCCTGCGGAGGCCGCCGGGAGCAAGGGCCCCGGCGTGCGGGCGAGCGGGGCTGCCAGGGCTGTGGGGAGGCACGGAGGGCGACGATGGGCGTGAGTCTGTGTGTGTGTGTGTGTGTGTGTGTGTGTGTGTGCGTGCGCGCGCGCTCCCCGCGCTGGTGGTCCAGCAGGAGGGGAGACTCCAGCGGGGAGGCTGCGACCTGGGCTTGTCACCCCCGGGGGATGGCTTAGGAGCCGCGGGGCAACTCGGAGGCCGCAAGGGCCCACCTCTCCGGGAGAGGCGATCGGTGGGCCCAGCGGCGGGGCTGCGCCCGCTGGAGGAAAACACAAGGAAGGCCGGGCATCCTTGGCTTGCCGCACGGCCCTCCCCTTCCCAGACGGGCGGGCGCAGCCCAGCGGCCCGGGCCTCGCCACCAAACCGCCGCCACCCTGCCTGGGAGCCGGGCGGTCCGCAAGATGCACGCGCGTTGGCGACTCGCAGAAGCTGCACTGGTGGGGAAAGAGACAAGAGTGCCGCCGGCGCCCCTCCCCTCCCTTCCCCGCTTCTCGGGACCGAAGGGCGGAGGCCGCGCTTGCTGGGGGCGTCTGGGACGGTCCGGGTCTGGAAAGGTCGCCGTCCGCCACCTTGTCTGTTCAGTTTTTTCTGAACACTGACAAGAGATCAACCAATTTCCCACCTTCTGGGAAAAGGTATTTTCTCCTCTTCCCGGTCATATTAGGTGCTTCGAGTGCTCACTGAATTGATCTTTAAACATCGATAGCGGTTGGATGTCTTTTGTGCCGCTTGCCCGCGCTTCGCTGCTTCTGCATTGCCCTAGACGCGCGAGGAATGCCAGGCCTCCAGGGCGAGGACACTCAAGAAAACAATAGGGGCAAAAGATCCTCCTGGTCCCACGGATTGCACACGAACGGAATCATTTCTCACTTCCGGCCACGCCAAAGTTGGAATGTGGAAAAGGACACATCAGCGCTGTAGCGATGATAATTGAAAAGCAAATTCATGATTTAGTTTAATGAGTTAATAACCCACCCACAAGGGCTAGGAAGTCGGTCTTTTTGAAAAAAATGGCCTTCCAGTGCTCTCCCTCTTTCTGTTTAAAAGGCTGGTATCATATTGTTTTCAACTTGTGATCCATTTTTTAAATTACCCAAATTCTAGTTCATTTATCACTTTGGAACAGAACTCTTCGTAGTCTAGCCCCCTGAAGAGGAGTGATTAGGACAATTCAGGGAGGATAGGCAAATTATGATTCCTACCACGTGCTGCCCTCCACCATCTCTTACCTTAGGAAACTTGTGACATTTCTTTCAGACTTCCTTTCTCATCTGCAAAATGGGATTGATAATATGAGCTCCTACCTCATAGTCTTAGTGTGAAAGGAAAAGGCACATACAATCGGGGCAGTCCATGTAAAACACTGTGCATAATGCCTGACACATGGTAAGAACCTAACAAATAAGACCTATTATTCAGATACGTAGTTTAACCCCAAATTTGACAGACTTTTTTTCTCTGCATTCCTTCTTGAAGTTGGGGGAGAAAAATCTATCTGCTTGTGTTTATCCAAATGTCGTCAATCCTCCTCTGGGGTTATTTTTCAGCCATGCCTGAAACCTTCTATGGTAAATTGGAAGAAGTATATAACTAAGATGTGCTTGTATTTATCTATGTATGTATATATAGATGTGACCATGTGTCAAAGGATAACAAACAAGCTTTTGTCTTTCCCCACCTCTGTCCTTCCCTCATCTACATAGACAGGCCTGATTAGATCAACTCTATGAATGTTGATCTGTGTTGTATTTTATTCCTTCAGGACTCTGAACAGTGAGTGACTGGCACTGTAGATTTCTTGAGGGCAAGACAACCTTTTATCTCCTTGACTTCATATCCTCAGAACTAATAGAAGGCCATAGACCAGGCACTTCATACATTGTAAATTAAAGAGCATCCATACTATGATCTTTAAAGGCAAGTTTTTACTTATTCAAAGTAATACATGTTCATTGTAGAAAATTTAGAAATTTCAGAAATTCAGCCAAATATGAAGGAAATAAAAATCATCATCATACTATCTAGAGAGAAGCAGTCAACAAGTGCTGCACATATGTCCACGTTCCCGTCATTTATTTCCTTACTACGCAATTGGCAAACATTTATTAAGTACCTAGTTGGGGACTGGACAACTTTCCCAGGACAGAGAACAGCTTGTATGTTGTAAGTAAATGTTTGTTTCTCAGGAGAAACTACTCTTTAGAGGCAGCATTTTATATGGTAGTGAGGGTATTGGGATAATCTACAAAAAGACCATGAGAGGAATCCTATACTCAAGAAATAGTGTTGAGCAGAAACAATCTAGATTTTGTAGGGCTTGAAGCACTTACAGTTTGGTGAGCCCTCTTCAAGATCGAGAAGACAAAAGTGCAAAAATCCCTTGAAAGGGCTCATGTAAATGAGGGGTCATGAAACTTGAAGCTCCTTAACCTCTCAGGAAGACTATCTTTGGTTTTGGGATTTCTGTAGAAAATAACAATTTTGATAAACATTGTTTTAATGTGAAAACTCATTCTTCATTTCACCTAGGATCCTTCAGACACCTCTCTCCCCCCGAGATGTGTAAGAGGTGGAAGTGAAAACTCGCATCAACACACACACACACACACACACACACACACACACACGTGCACTTCTTGCATGCGGCCATAGTAAGGGCAGCGGAACTGTGGGGACTTCAGCAAGGGCTGTAGGAGAGAGAGAGCTGGAAGTACGCAATGGGAGGGGAGGGGGCTCACCGGTGGGGCACTGAGGCGCTAGAGGCTCAGGTGCAGGGGTGCACCGAACCAGGCCACTCTGTTCGGTCAACACAAGCTAAAATCTACTGGACACTGTGTCACAGAACAATCTCTCTAGCTCTTCATAATTACTAAGATGACTATCCATATAGTTATGTAAGAAGAATGAAAAACATGTTTTCCCCCCCAGTTGCAAGTAATAAAACCATCTCTTCTTTGCTCTTCTACTCCACCAGAAACCCTGAATTCCATATCAACACTCTACATATAACTTTTTTAAATGTTTCTTTTTTGCACAGGAAAGTTAACTTTTAACTTTCAAAGTCACTACTATCAAAATTTATTACATTCCTAGAGCTTTAACTTATAAATTCTTGGCCCTGTAGTAAGTGTGAATTTTTTATTTCTTATTTTTCTTTCTTTAAAGTACAGTGTTATGGATTCAATGTTTGTGTCCCCCAAATTCATATGCTGAAGCCCTAATTCCCCCCATACTGATGGTACGAGTCCTTTGGGAGATGAGGTCACTGGGCGGGGTTAGGGAGAGACTGGGTCCCTTAAAGGTGAGACCAGAGAGCTCTCCCCAGCCCTTCCCACCCTACCCAGACACCATCCACAAGCCAGGAAAAGACTGACCTCAGACTTCCAGCCTCCAGAACTGTGAGAAATAAGAATCTCTTGTTTAAGTCACCCAGTCTGGTATTTTTCTCATAGCAGCCTGAGCTAAGATATATAGGTTCCCTTTACCACTGACTACAAAAAGGAAACCAGGGAAAATACAGGCTGATCGAAAGAAAGGATAGTAAAAGCTATACCCTGCCTCCCATAACTTCTCATAGAAATCTAAATAAATTCATCTTATGTGGCTTATTTTTAAAAGATTCCAATCAGGTTAATTTTTCTAAACAATCAAGTTAAAAGTAGCAAACTTTGGCAGGCTTATTACAAAGCAGGTGATCCTAAACTTAGTACTACTCTGAAATGTGCTCTCCTTGTATTTGCTCCTTGCAATGACAGCTAACACTGGTTGCTGTGTGTTAAGCTTCATATTATATATAATTCGTAATGTATGTGAACTTAGTCATCTTCCCAATACATTCAGACCAGCATTGCTGTTATCCTCATTCCCATGCAGAGGTGGACATGGAAGCACACAGGGAGGAGTCAGTAATGCAAGGCCAAGTGGTAGAGCCAATATATTTTCTCTTCAATCACCTCCAATTATTTTTTGCCCCAGTTATATTCATTCTTTAAGGCCAGGCTAAAACTCTATCTCCTAAAAGGAGGCCTATCTGAGCAATCGCAGCCTCTGAGTTTCTGAACTTTTGGAGTACCATAGTCTTCACCGCTTGCTGAAATGTTACAGCCTTAACACATTTGGGGGTCTGCCGCATCTTTTTTGTTAACTCTGCCATCAAGCTCCATAGCTAATGGTTAGAGACTAGATAGTTGTGTGTGTGTGTGTGTGTGTGTGTGTGTGTGTGTTTAAATCTTACTTTGGGGGGTACTATAATGTACACACACAGGTGAAGCACCCAATAGGCAGTGGTGGATTGAGGGCTATTTGTGTAGTGTATTTTGTTTACAATTCTAGTGACACCACACAGCTCCTTCTGAATGGTTGGGGCTCAACCAGAGCAGGTAGTTTAAAGTCAGTGCTAACAACTTGCTAACGGTTCTAATTGGTCTCTCAATGATGTGTGAATTTCTCTGAGTAACCTGCTCTTCTAGATCTAAAAATTATGACTCTTACTTAACATCTTTTTATTTCTTTCTTGGGTTTCTTCTTAGGGTGTGTATTATCTTTTATTTCATTTTCAAAAGTTGGGGAGATAGAAGATGAAAACATGAAACATGAGCACTTGAAGCAAGGAGCATTTAGAACCCACGACCGAGGAGTGAGATGCAACCACAGAAAAAGAGAGAAGGAAGCAGAGGGAGGGGAACTACAGCCATCCAGAGGGGTCAGCTAAGCCCTCCAGGCCATCTGCTTCCTCTTGTCATTTCATGGCCTTGCTC